TGGCGAAGAAGAAACAATTTGTGTTATATATCATTTTTTCCTTATAAATGAGCAAAAAAAAACCGATCAAATTATAAGTTTTTAGCTTATCAAATATCACTCAGCTTATCATTATTTCATAAAAAATTATCAGTTTTTAGCTTATCAAATATTACTCAGCTTATCATTATTTTATAAAAATTTGATTTAGACTTTAGAATGAAATTTACAGCTTATTTAGCTTAACTATTTTTAATTTAGCTAGTTCCACTAATTATTGGAATGAATGAGAATCCTTCGAAAAGATGGAAGAGCATTCGGAAATAAATCGAAAAAAAACCACAATTAGTACAGACATCATTGGTTCATATAAAATGTTTTTTTTAAAATTTATTTAAGAGAATTTCTATTTTTTTAAGTTAAAAATATATAAATATAATATAAATGATTTTAATTCACTTTTATTTTTTTTATTTTTCTTCTAATATCATTTCACCAATTTCTTATTTGCCTTGCTTCAGTGAATATTTTCTTTAAAACTTCTTCTTCGCTTGAACGTCTCACTTGGGAATCACTTGGGAATCGAAGTACAAATCATTTCCAAGCATTTCAATCGAAGAACCAACTTAATCTATTAATATCAACACATCTTCTACGAATATCATTTATCATAAAATCATAAAATCTTGCCAATTTTTTTCTTTCTTTGAGATAATTTATCAATAAACACGTTGATAATAAACACGTTGATATCTATTAATATCAACACATCTTCCAACATTAACCAATATTGACTAATAATGCTAACGAATTTTTGAGTATATGAGAGTTGATGAGTATTCTTTCTTATCATTTTTGATTTGGGTAGTTCCACTAATTATTAGGACGTGAACGTTGAATGTCAGAGAGACATCTGAGAATCAACCGGCCACAGCACCAACATTCGAACTTCACTTTACTGATAAATTTATTCTTATCAAAAGAGTTATAACTAATATTAACTCAATGTCATCTAAGTAACAATATTATTCGGTTGTTTTACTCAAAAATTTTTTAATGTTCAAAGAATTTTAGTGCAAAAATTTTATACAAATTAAAAATAGATAACAATAAATAAATTATTTTATATACGATAAGCGCATATAAATTTTAGATAAATTAAATTATAAACTATAAATTAGAGGTAACAAATTTTCAAATTGAAAAAAAAACATTAAATTTACGAAAACTTTCAATATTTAATTAGATATTTTTTACTTAATTTAACGATTAATAAATAAATAAATATCAAAATACATCGAAATACAACCATAAATAAACCAATTCTATAAAAAAAATTAAAAAATTATAAACGAAATGAATCAATTACCATATATTTTACTTATAAATATTAAATTACAAACTATTATGTTTTATTTAAATTGGATTGAACAAAAATATTATTCGATAATCATAAAAATTCATTCAAACATTACCACTGTGCAAACGAAGTGAACAAATAGAAATGACTAGTAAAGTACCATCAAAGTACCATTTGAAAAAGGAAATAACAATTATTGCAATCAATTAAAGTCCTATAAAAATTCGCTTTAAAAATATGTCCAAGTCGACCATTTTACTTTCAACAAAAGATAAAAGATAAAAAAGATAAATAAAAGCGATCCATTAAAAAAAAAAAAAAAATTCACATTAATTATGATAGTGCAAAAATATATATTTAAAGAAATATTCGATGATTTTGGTGCATATTTTATAGAGAAAGACAAATGAAAAGGTTTTTAGGTGCAAAAAAAAAGTTCCAAAGGACCATTGCAAACCAAAAATCTAAGAAAACAATAAAAAAATATTTTGTTCTTAAACAACGATTTCACTAAAAAATTTTTAGCGATAAGAGATAAGCAAAATTTCATTGTTTATTCTGCCATAAACAGTAAAAATATTTTAAGCAAATAGAGAAAAAAAATCGGAAGGACCTGGAAAAAAAAAGGATTTCCTGTCCCAAACATTTCTTTAATTAAGGAGAGCAGAAGAGACTAAGGCCGGCGAACATCTTAGTCCAACTCCTATCGCTTAATGATAATAGACATTTGAATGGAAATAAATAAAGATAAAACGAAAATTGCTGAGGATTCATTTGTCCCCAAGTGACTCTATGCTGGCTCTCCACAAAAAAACGACTCCGCATCCTGGCCGAGTTATATTACCTCGTAGAGCCAATCAAATTAAATATAGCTTTATTAGAAGAAGAAGAATAACCTATTAGAAGGCAAAATCATTTTCTGCTCTTCTTGAAATTAGCATTTAAACAATTTTCAAACAATTCTCGAAACAAAATTCCTAATTAAGAAAATGAAAAATTTTCAAAAAAAAAAAAAAATTTTTCAACTAAAATTTTAAATTAAAATTAATAATAAAAAATAATAACTAAAAAAATTAAAAAAATGTAAACATTAGTGAATAATTCTATTAATTAACAAAATATTATAAAAACCAGTATCGTTGCGAAATATTTATTTTAAAATTTTTAAAATTATTACAAAATTAAATAAATTAATAATTCAATAAATATAAATAAATAAAAATAGTATTGTTAAATCTTAGAAATCTACAAAAATCCAAACAATTAAAATAATTTATAAAAATTTTTTTAATATAAAAATTTTAAAATTTTTTTAGCAATAATATTCTAATAAATATTATTGATAAATAAAAAAAATTTTCATTTAAAAAAATTAAAAAATTCTATTAAAAAAAAAATTATAATTATACCAGTGAAAAGATAATCGATTATATAAGTATATTATATAAGAAAAAAATAAAAAAAAAATTGAAAAAAAAGCCTATTTGCCTAAAAATGTAAAAATTAATCATTTAAGACCCAAAGTATTTGATATCATTAAAAATTGCACTTTTTAAATAAACATGAATGATACATTAAGGAATTTGCTGAGAAATGAGAATTCCATTATTTATGCCCCATGAAATGAGATCTTCTTTTCCATAATACAAAAAAAATATATTCATCGCCCTATAATCATAATCATTTGATAAAATCTGAAATTTAAGAAAAATTAAAATTTTTAAAAAATTTTGATAAATTCTAAAATTCAAATGATAAAAGATAAGATAAAAATAAAAGATTATAATTGATTATAATTTTTTTTAGCGATATTTTGATAAAATTCAATTCATTATTGATAATTTTGTTTTTAATATTTCATTTTCTAGTGGTTTACTTTAATAAAAGTCGTATAAAAAGCTAATCTCGATTAAGTTCATTGCTAACACTTTCCTAGACAACACATTTCTTTATCTCATTAATAATGACCAAGAAAAGATAAAAAAAATATTGATTTCAGGCTAACGAGGCAAGTAAAAGCCTTCGTCTTCTATTCTTTTATCATGAAAATATTCTTAGAAGGACTGAGTGAAGGGAGAAGGAAAGTATTTATGTATTATACTTGATGTGATGTTCATGAACCGAATGAATCTTTTAGAGAATCTCACGCTAAAGCCACAAAGGTCATTCCGTTACTACTATTGTCCGTTACTTCAACTGAAATGGACAATTCTTCCATTCTGACAACAATAAATCTGTTATTAAAAGCGAAATCAGCGAGGCTGCAGAGGCGAACCATCTGTACTTCTATCTTTAAATGATTCATCTGAGGAAGAACGCCTATCCTAGTTAGTGGTACTAACCAAACCAGTGGTAAGTAATGTCAGAAAAATCTTATTTTATTCACGAAAAAAATAGCCTATAACGAATTTGAGTTTCGATATATGACTGGTTCAAAAAGCCCACAGAATGATCTAAATTATGTACACCATTTCCTGTATAAGATAGCGATAATTTTTGGATTCTTTCAAAAAGATTAACTACAATCTTCATCGAAACACTTCGGCCTTGATATTTTCCCTCATTAAATTTTCGCATTATTCAGGCACCACTAATTTTCTTTTGCACAAACTAATTCTTAAATCCTCAGAAATACTCAGCAGTGAATTCATAAAAATGTTGTAGGAAATTTCATTTCGATTTAGAAAGAAGTGAAAGGACTGAACGATTTATTAATATCATATCCCATCTTTTTATCATCTTATCAGAACAAACAGCAAGTTGCACGAAATGATATTTGATTTATGATCAGCAATTTATATGGTTGACGCTCTAGAAATGGTGAACATCATAAATTGGATATCAGACAGATGAAAAAACTAGAAATTGATAAATTAACGCTTCTGAATTGATAAATTGATAAATAAATTAACGTAAATTTATGATGAATAGTTCTACAGTTTTAAGAGTTCGACAAGAGTTATGAACTACGTAAAAAATACTAATTATTACTGGTTAACTTAGTTCCGCTGGCTGTACAGTTAGTACAGTTACAATTTTTTGCTATAATTTAGCTATAATTCAATAGCTAAAATTTTAATAGTAAAAAAAATAGCGAAAATCTAAATAATAATTTACCGTATTATTTTGCTTAGGTGATAAGCTAGGCGCGTAAACAGAGGTTTCTAATATTAAACTCACTTGCGCTCTAATAAAAATTTATATTTCTGTTAACTTCCCTTCCTCCCTCATATCTCTATCGTGAACTTTTGCATTCCCATTAATATCATTTCCTTATCACTTCAATAAACATCATACTTCACCAACTCTTCATACTAACTTAAATCATGTCTTCGAACCTCATTTCCTTAACATTGTTCATTCTTCGTGATATTCTTTTAAGGACATCATGGTTAAAAAACATTATTTGAAACTAAAAGTATCAGTTTGCAGTCTTAAGATCTGTCGCAATTCTGGTACCTTTTCTTAAGAAATGCTGTAAAATTCGCCTTCATGTCCTCATAGATCTCATTTTTTTGCGATTATACTAACTATTATTAAGACAATCTTTTTACAATAAAATAAATTAAATAGCTTAATAAATAGATATATATTTTTAATAAAATAAAAATAAAACCTTTCTTAAAAAATAAATATTCACCTGATCACTTGATTCAAAGTACTATCGAACTGACTGAGCGGAAGCGTACGGCAAAGATGCTGCACCTTTCCCGTAGAAATGAACTTGAGCGAGTATTAGTATATCAATCGTTATCTGAAATTTTCACTCTAAAATTCCAACTTTCATTGTTATCAGTCATTTATCATTTTAATATTGAAACAATGTTATAGTATTATAAGATGAAGCAACAACGCTTTTATTCCAATTAGAATTAATTTTACTTTTCAATTAAATTTTTTGTAACAACCAAAATAGCTGTTTTTTAATATAAAAAAGAGCAAAAATAGCAAAAATATATTCCATGAAAAGCAAATAAATGAATCTATTAAATCAGAGATTTTTAAAACAAGCGATCCATAAACTCATTGATCTTCGATGAGTGCAATCATCACCAACTCGAATTTAGCATTTCTTTTCCTTTAGTCAACCATAGTTGATGTAATCATAGCGTTAGTGGTCACCAAAAGAAAGCATAGATATTTTCTGGAGACAGAACTAATGACACAGGAAAAATTCCTTAATCTCAGCACAAATCTAAATTAAAGAAAAGAGAATATTAATAAAAGGTGAACAACAAGAAACCTGTAATATGGCACAAACCCAAAATTGCACAGGACTTGATCGAACGATAAAGTAAACAGTTTTAGCACAATCGCCTATCAGCCACATCAACACCATACGAACACTGAAACAATTCATATTTATTCAGCTTTATCATAAGGGAAGAACATCCATCATATAAGTCATGGATCACGTAAATCATGGACAATCTTAGACTCTATAATTACTGCACGAATTTCCAAAGAATTAGTAATTTAAATCATAGAGAGGGTTGGTCCATTGCTTTGTTGCTTCATACGTTATTATAATGAAGCCTTACGCTCGATTAAGAGATTTCCTAAAAATACTGCCAAATTATTGGTAAATTATGTGACCAGTTTATGTTTATCTCATTAACAAATTGTTCATGCATCTGCATGTGATTTCAGCAAACAAATTCATATGATCGTAAAATCTTTCATACCTCATGCCAGTCGTTGCATGTCGTTGGTAATTTCTGAGAAGCTGCGGTATACCCAAACATGCTTCAACCAAAAGTGAAACCATTCCAAGCGTTTCGATATACGCTGATGACTATAAATATTTCCTCGATGTGGCAAAAATTTGAGAGATCCATTTTATTTCAGAAATTTTCGAAATTTTTAAAAATTTAAATTGTTCAAAAAGTTTCAAAACTTGTTGCAAATTTTCTTTTTAAAAGAGCTCGCACCATTAGTGGTTAGATTCGCACCACTGGTTTGTCGGACAAACAAATATGCTAAGCAGTCCTTTGGTAATAAAAAACAAGTAAGCCGCCGTTATACCCGGATTTTTTGTACAGATTTATTCCTACTTGGAGTTGAACCTCAATATTGGTGCTCAGAAATGAGCAACAACCCATTCAGCCATTCTTTTCTCCTTTGCTTTCATTAGGCTACTCAATTAAGTGTTTATTTATGTGTCGGCCGAATGATACGAATCCAGGCCTCGATTCTCGGTGGCAATCATCTTGCCACACTGAGCCACCCACACCCCTTATTATTGCAAATAGCAGATAATAAATTTAAATCAAAAAAACGAGTAGAAAAGTGAAACTGACAACAATGTCAATTTGATTCTCGAGAAAATGATTAAAAAAAATTCCGAATTTTAACCTTTAAAAAGATGTATGTGATAACTGAAACTATCGTTGTGAATAATATTAAAATTAACAGATAACTTGAAAGATCGTTCCATGCCCAAAAATGAGACAGTAGGTTACCATCTGAAATTCATTATGATAATATTCAACTTGGCTCATTTTATAAGCCCCACTTTATTAATATGAATAACTCATTTTATAAATATAAATTTATTGAAAATATAAATTTTAATTTTAAAAAATTTGTGAAAAAATAAAAAACAAAAAGTAATAACAAAATTATATTGTTTTAATCAATCATTCATTAATCATTAATCAATTCTTATTATTTATTATTTTAACTGTTGTTATTAATACAAGCACATGGCATTTGCACTCTGCTTGGCTGGTTTTTCAATAAATAAATAAATAAGCCTAAGCTTTAAATTAGGAGCAGACCAAGTGAAATTTTATATGGCTTACATTATCACTGCGAATCTTTGCTAATGCCCTCGCCATAAGCAAATGTGCCATTAAAAAATTAAAGTGGAATTAATAAATTATTTTTATCCCAAATGACTCCTCCTTGGCTAAATTTTCTCATCTAAATACAGCCAATGAAGCGAGGAAAATTATAATCACACTTAATATTTTTAATTTTTAATGAGCATGAATTGTTGAAAAAAGATTTTTTAGAAAAGAAATAAAATTTTAATATTTATTTTATTTAAATATTTAAAGTAAAATAAATTTAAAAAAGAGACAAAGCTAATCATTTCGATCACTTACAGTCATCATTAATCATTATCGATCATTAACAGCCTAATCACTTAAATTAGGCTGTTAATATGTTTAGTATAGGCTAGAAATTTTTTTGCCAAGAACCTATTGATGGTAGGGTTGCCAATATCGCTAATGGGCTTTTTTTAATAAGAGATTAAGAATTAGAGATTAATACTATCGTCGCCCCGGGCGTTAGTAAAATAAAAATGAATCAGATGAAAAAAAAAATTTTTATTTTCGCATAATAATATAATTTTATTTTCGCATAATAACAAAAAATTAATAATTAATAATACAATATAATAACAATAATCATAAACTATAATAATATTAGGGAATAGAATGGTTCAGTGGGTTTGTTGCTCAATTCTGAGTGCTGTTAATGAGATTCTATTCCTCACAGGAGTAAACCTGTCCAAAAATCCGGGCGATGCTGGCGACTCACCAGTATTTCTATTACCAAGGGATACTTGCCCATTGCGACAAGCCAGCGGAGCGAGCTTAACCAGTAATAGTGAGGACTTTTAAAATAATAATAATAATTAATAATAAAAATAACAAAGTAAAAATTTTAAAAAGCAATCGTAAAAAAAACATTTCTTTCGCCTAAAAATAAAATTTTTTTTCTATGAGAAGTTGATAACAATTAAAAAAACTGCCATGCCTAAATTCCTAAACTTAGAAATGAGCAACAACCCACTGAACCATTCTATCCTCTAATATTATTATTATTTATTATTATTGCTATTTATTATATTATTACTTATTAATCATTTCTAATTATTTTTTATTATTATTGTATTATAATTTTGTATTATTATTATTGTATTATATTATAATTTTTTAAAAAAATTTTTTTAAAATAATTTTCGAAAATATTTTAAGAAAAAAAAAAAAATTCCATAATTTTATAAAAGAAATATGCTATCTTTTACGATACTTTTTAGATGTTTTATAAATTATCTTCAAACAACTATAAATTTGTTATTCGATTTAAAAATTTTTATGGAATTCATCGATGGAATACTTTTTTTTAACGCTTCTATACATTTAACTTGGCTTGAAAATTCCTAAAGTTCTCCTTTCAAATCCCTCCCTATATTCTTCTTTCGACTAAAGCAATCGCCATTACTCGTTTGCGCTTATCTCTACTAAGCTATAAGATTTTTTCCACACAGAACTATTTGTAGAATAGAAGTTTAAGCAATAACTCTAACGTTAATAGCCGAATTGCATTTTTCATAATTAACGTTTATGCCAGAAACGAAGGCAAAATTCAAACCACTAAACTTATAACAAAAATATTTTATATTTTACCTTATATATATATATATGTATTTTTTCACACTGATTAAATTCGTTCCGCTTGCTTGTCGCATTGGACAAATATGCTAGAGAGTCTCTTGCCGATAGAAATAGGTGAATCGCCCGTACCATCCGGATTTTTGCATGGGTTTACTCATGCTGGAAATAGAACCTTAGAATCGGCGCTCCGAATTGAGCAACAACCCACTAAGCCATCCTATCTCCCTTATATATATTTATATGTATTAATAATCTATTTTACTAAAAAAACGTGACGTGATATTTTACGTGTAAAACGCCGAAATTCAATCAGATATTTGAAAAATAAATCCGAAAATTTTCCTAAACAAATAATTTCAAAAATATTCTAAAAATTTTTTAAAATTTAGAATTTTTTTCGACAAATAAATAAGCGAAATAAATCAAAAAACGATTTTTTTATTTTAAGTGATCATTGAGTTTGGGCGATTAGGGGCGTAAAACAACGATAAAATTAAATATTAAAAGGAAAAAAAAACGATTATAATAATTTTCAGCATTCATAATTTTTAAATTAGAAAAAAAACTAAACATTTCTGGAAGATATTTCCTCAATCTTATTTCCAATTTTTATTTTTTTATTAGAAAAAATCCAGAAAAAATTTTTTTCATTTTTTAAAAACTTTTCATTTTCATTAATCTCGAGGCGAATAATTAAACGTGTAAGTGATTATTAACAATTACCTCGAATAGGAATGAACTGGCTAAACTGACTATCGAAAAATCTGAATGGTACTTATTTATGATTCACCTATATTTTTATTTTAAGCGAAAAGATTTTCATAATAAAAATTTCTAATCGTATTATTTATTTATTAATCAAATAGCAACTAGCAAATTTAAATCAAAAATAATCGCCGATAATCATTTCATTTCATTATTTATTTTATTTTTCATCAATAATCGTAATTTTTAATATTATGAAATCCATTCTTATCACAAATAATAAAAATATTATCAATGAGATTACAGATTTTCAATAAGCAAACTTCAAATTATTTCGATAACAAGCATTTCTTATTGTTAAGCGTTTATTTATTAAGGTTTTACGAATATCTACGAATTATTCGGTATCATTTTTCAGTACCACTTTTAATGGTATTATTAAAAATATATATATAATCAAATATCAAATTATCAAAATTCTAAATCTATTTTAAATCTAAACAAATGAATATTTCTGAATGTGGAACAAAGGTAAGAAAATTATAACTTGAAAAAAAGAAAAAAAAGAGTAGCCTAAGGAGCCTCATTGCTGGTCCACAAATTAAATAGGAATAGGACATTGGAGAGTCAGGTGAACAAAAATGGATCTCTAGGATCCCTTCCGAGGATAGGGGCTAATTGCTGGTCCACTAACCAATAGGAACAGAAATAGAACATTGGAGAATCATCGGAGGATCCAAATCCACGATTCCTCAGTCGAAGCAATAAATCATTTACTCATTCACTTTTCAAACATTAAACCAACGCTTTTCTAAATCCTTTATAAAAATATATACAAAAAATTAAAAAAATTTTTGTAAGATTAAATGACCTCAATAATTTCTTAATAAATTCACGTAACAATTTCACGTAAAATTGAAAATTGAAAATTTGAAAATTTGAAAAAATTTTTCTTTCTAAATTAAAAAAGTTTCATAAAAAGTTTTTTCGCTTCTAAAACTTCTAAACGTTGAATTCTAAAAATTTTCATAAAAATTATCTTAAATTATTTTTCTTTTAAATAAATCTTAAAAAATTTATATTTAAATTTATATGTATTAATTTTTTCTTTTTTTAAGAGTCCTCACCATAACTGGTTAAACTCGCTCCACTGGCATTTGTCGCATTGGACAAATATACCAGGGAATCCCTTGGCGACAGAGATGCAGTGAGAAGTCAGCATCACCCGAATTTCTGTACAGGTTTACTCCTGGAGGAATCGAACTTTAGCATCGGCGCCCCAAACTGCACAACAACCCACTGAGCAATTCAATCCCTATATTAATTAATAGAAACAATTGGCTAATTTTATGGCTCATCGCTAAGGTATTAATTTCAGTTCGACGAATACGAAACATTTTATGAAATTCAACTCATTCCAACGCCTCTTTTCATAATTTTCGGTATTATCGTTTCAATAATCGTATTTTTAACAATTTTCGGCAATCTACTTGTACTATTATTAAAAGCTCGAGTTGGCCGTACAAATACAACAATACTAGTATGGAACCTCGGCTTAACCGATTTTCTTGTCGGTTTATTTGTTTTACCACTCGCTGCGATATATTTTATACGACGCGAGTGGGATTTTGGAAGATTTTTATGTCGTTTATGGATCGCTGCTGACGTCACTTTTTGTACTTGTTCCGTGGTAATATTTTTTAATGATAATATTTTAATAATAATATTTTTTTTACATTAATCGTTTGAGTTACCAAAATAAAAAAGAAAAAATAATTATTGGAAAAGGAAAAAATGTCAAAAAAATTTCTTCTACAGAAATCTTTTTTCCTATGTCAATAAAATTCTAAATGTTTCATTTATATTAAATGCGATGCTAATATGATTTTTTTTTGTCCATTTTAAATCAATCTTATCAGTCTTATCAGACAAATATTATCAATCACATCTCATCAAAAGATTAAAATCATTGTTTTCAAACTAATAATAAAATATAAAAAATAATTAATTAGTTTTAAAATAATTGAAAGGAAATTCGAAGAAAATAACCAATCATAATTGATAACTATCATTAGTTTTTTTTTTTTTTTTTTTAACAGCCTTCACCATTACTGGCTAAACTCGCTCCACTGGCTTGTCGCATTGGGCAATATACCACGCAGTTACTTGGCGACATAAATACAGGTGAGTCGCCAGCATCCCCGGATTTTTGTACAGGTGACTCCCGCGGGAAATCGAACCTCAGCATCGGCGCTCCAAACTGGGCAACAACCCACTGAGCTATTCTATCCCCATTAGTTATCATTAGTTATCATATCAATCAGTTATATTTATTCTGAGTTTATTCTTACGTCTCGTTAATTTAAAATAATTTAATTTTATCTTATTTCAGTTAATCGAATTTTGTTATCACAAATTCCGTTATCAAATTTTGTTATCATAAAAAAGTCATTCAATTTAAATTTCAAAGTTCTTTAAGGCTTTTTTATAGGCATTTATTTGCATTAGGTTTTAATCATTTCTACTTAAGTATTTCGACAATTTTATTGCAACTACATGCAAATTTTTTCAACTTAAAAATTTAATAATCTTTTTTTAAATATTTTTCAAATAAAGAATATTTTCTTTTAAATAAAATGAAATAAAAATTAGTTTTTAACAATAGAAGTTTGATTGAAAAAACTTTCGAAATATTATTTAACAAACCAATTATTATTATTGAAGAAAAGAAGAATTACTATTATTATAAAATTTTATCAAATATTTCATTAAATTAAATTTAGAGAATTTATATTATCAAATTTTTCTTTTATATTATTTATATTATATTATTTTTTATTATTTATAATATAATTTTATAGAAAGAAAAAAATTTTTTTTATATAGAAAAGAATAGAAATATATTTCGTTATAAATTTCATATTCGAATGTTGATAAAGATAAAGAAATCAGTGATAAGAATCAATGACTAAATTTATTAAACTAATTTCTCTTTTTTTTCTAATAGCTCGAATAGCTCATTTTTAAATTCGCTTTTTAAGAAGGAAATCCTTCATATTAGAGAGTTATTTGAAGAAGAAAAGTATAGATGAATGAATGTTCAACACCATTCGCTTTAAATTAATAGAAATAAAAGTTAAAAAACTGATTAGTAAGAGGACTGATAATGAACCAAAAATGACACCAATGACAATATCATTATCATTTATATCATTAACAAACTGCTCTTCAAATTTGAAAAAAATAAATCCATCAAAAAAAAAGCAAAACTTATCTTAAAGAACTGGAAATTTTATAATTGAAATTTTTTTATAAAAGTAAAATGCCACCATAGCAATCTTTATTTGCATTAAGACCCAATGATGCGAACCAAAGCCTAAGGCCTGAAACCCGATGTGAAACTCAAACCCATAACAGCAACAGCCAGAGAGCCTGGTGCTGTAACGAGAGTGAAATAGCATCGAGTAATAATGAGTAGTAACAACAAAATTTGATATATTTCTACAAAAAATATAATCTTTTAAGGTGACAATATGTACAATATCAGCTGATCGATACCTGGCTATAACTCGACCACTAAAATACAGATCTATAGTTACAAAAACTAAAATGATTATTGCTATTATAATTATATGGTGCTTTTCATTTGCAATCCTATTAACGACTGCACGTTGGAACCAACCTATTTGCACAAATTCGGTAAGTAATTCCAAGCTATATAATCATAATTGAAACTATTTTTATTAATTTAGAAAGTAATTAGAAGAAAAAATCCAATTTGTATGCATTCAGTATAAGTATTATATTTGTATTTTTAGTTATTATAAAGAAAATAAAAATAAGTGGTTGGTTGATACTCATCATTTTCACCGGCTCACACCACTCCACTGATGAGACAATTTTGCTAGAGAGAAAATTACACAAGTGCATTCTTAGTAGCACTTTGATTTTTAAATGACAAGTTTATTTATATTATGAAAATTGGTGGACCGGCACGCTCGCTGTGATAATCTAAGTCGATTCCTTATTTAGCTCCTTAATTAAAACGAAAAACTATTAATAATACCACTTCATTTAACTATTTCTTCTAAAATATTTAATCGTTAAGATTTAAAAAAAAAACTAATCAGAGCTTATTTCCAAAAGATTAGAAGTTGAAATTTGATAAAAGATAAGAGATATGATAAGCTAATAGTAGAAATGGTTGACAATGATTTATTATCTAAAATTTAGGAGTCAATAAAAATTTAAAGAAAAACAGATATTGAATTGATAAAAAAATAGAAATTTTTTAAAATTTCATTAATTTTAATAAATTTTTTTAATAATTCAATGTTAATATATTTTCGATTAATAAACTTATTTTAATAAAAATTATAATAATTATTTTTTAATTGAAATTTGTTTTATAAAAGAAATTAAAATTAAAATATAGATTCTACGATAAATTTCCCTAATAAATTAATAAAAATATCGGAAAATTTCGGAAAATCATTAGAAAATCCGAGAAAAAGCGCCTCACTTGAATTTCTATTTTCTATTGATTTGGCGATTTTTCAATAAAAATTTTCTAATTATACAAATAGCCAATAGAGTGGGCCAAAGAATATAATATGCAAATCGTTTTATTTATTTATTTAATAAAAAAATTATTGGGAAAATTTTAAGAAAATTTGTTACGTTGGCGATGAAATAGAATATTTGGCACATAGTGTTGTTGTGGCTTTCTTTCTTCCTGCACTTATTACGTTGATTTTCTATTGGAAAATTTATAAATTGGCACGTCGACGTCAAGAAGCACTCAAGAAGGGCTTTCTGATGATTTTCGGGCAAAATATGAACTTTCTTTCAAGTACGCTAGCACAGGTTAATTAAATTGTTGCTTTTTTTTTCCAAATAATAAAAATAATAAATAATAAATACTAAAAAAAAAAAAATTGATTTTGGATGATGAATGATTTAATAATGAAAATTTTATTATCAAAAAAAAAAAAAACTATACAAAAAAACTATTCTCTTTTTATTTTAATTTCTCTTATTATTTTTAATTAAAATATGGTTGAAAATTTTCGAAAAAAAAACAATTTCGAAAAAATCTAAAATCCAATAAAATTTATTATTATTTATTATTATTTTTATTATTTATTATTGTATTGTATTATTATTTATGCTAATTTATTATTTTTTTAAGCCATATTTACGTATACATGTTGGAAAAAAAAAGGATGTAATTGAAAAACAACGACGACTGTTGCGTGCTCATCAACGTATCGCAAAAACATTAGGCGTCGTATCGTTTTCGTTTCTTTTATGTTGGCTACCATTTTTTACACTTTACTTAACAAGTAAGTAATTGTAAATTTTTGTATTAGCCAATTAATAAATTATTCTTATTCTTGCAAGAAATAAGCGATAAACCAAAAAGCTTTTCATTGAAAAATTTTCACTAAAGCTTAAATATGATGGTAAAGATAGAATTGCTCAGTGGGTTATTGTTCAATTCGGAGCGCCGATACTGAGGTTCTATTCTCAGCCGGAGTAAACCCATCCAAAAATCCGGATGATGCTGGCGATTCACCTGTATTTCTATCGCCAAGGGACTCTCTGGCATATTTATCCAATGCGACAAGCCAGCGGAACGAATTTAATCAGTAATGATGAGGATTCTCAAAAAAAATGATGGTAAAGCTTGCTCTGCTAGAACCATACAATTTCATCAGGGAATTATTTAGCAAATAAGCAACCAGTATCACTGGGAAAATATTAATCCAACTGAGCGTAGAACAGCAGCATCAGTGCTTCGATAAGAGCAACAAATCATTGAATCATTCTACCATGATAATAACTTGATAATGATATTTGATAATATCAACTGATTAAATGGTTCTTAAATCAATAAAAGTTCTTTTCTTCAGATCATCGATGCAAATGTATTGCTTCATATTTGATCGAAATTGCCACTTGGCTTGGTTAGCCTTTATTTTAAAATTATCAGATAAAACTGCTTATTAAAACCGCCTTTATGGAATTTAAAATCTAAAACCTAAGTGAATGCATTTCAGGTTATTGCAATTCGATGCTAAATCCAATCATTTATGCTTTTACCATTAAAGAATTCAAGCAAACAATGGTAGCAATATTAACCATTTTTTGGCGAATACCTCACTTAATTTTACCAAATATCATTCGTCAACCAACGAATATCAATCATTCACGAATTCCACGACAATGTGCATATCTTTTAACGCAAAAACATCTAAAAAAAACGATACCAAAATATGGACCTCAGAAACCAGCGTTTTTAAAAAAATATAAATTAAAAGACTCCAAATATCTGAAATGTCACGAAGATTTTATAAGTTTCAATACTGAGACAATAATTCGCGAGGAAACTATTTTAATGCCAAATAATGGTGATTCAAATAATGGTGAGACAATGATTGCACCTCTACTCCTTCCAACAACAACGAATCCTCTCAAATGTTTCGAATATACTATAAACGAATCACCAATAAAAAATAAGGATGAATCAAACATTCAACAGGACAAATTCGAATTAAAATTAGAATTCGATCATGGTGGCAGCCCAAATGGTGAATTTATTTTTGAACAATATACCTTATCAATTTGATAATATAATAATATATTATATATGTAAATCGAATGATAATAATATCACACTAAAAGTGAGAAAAAAAAATTTTATCAGCGAAATTTTAATTTTGATTTTTTACTCAAATCTATGAATTAATGAAGAATTCAAATAAAAAAAAAGAAAAAATGAAAAATTAAACAAAATTTTAAAATTATTTATATTTGTCAAAAGAAATATTTCATTAATGAAACGATAAACCCTTTGCAAAAAAGTATTCGAACCATACAAATAATAATAACAATTATTATTATATAATATTAAAATTAACGTTAATTATTATTAAATAAATATTAAATAGCTCGTTTTCTCATAAATTAATCTTATCATAAATTTATCAAAAACTAAAGAATTATCAACTAACGCCAAATCGATTTGTATTGGGATTTATGAAGGATTCTTCGGTTCATTCGTACTGATACTTCTAGCATAAGAACCATACAGCTAAACATAACGATACTTTGTGCTAATAATGCCAAATCAAATCTTTTTCCAACCCTGAAAAAAAAAAAAAATTCAATAAGTATAAATATTTTAAAATATTATTGAAATAATAAATACGCTTCAAACCATTCACAACAATTCTTCATTCATCTTTATCGTTAAAATTTCGTTGAATAAATTTCCTAAATCTTGTAAAAAGAAAAAAAAAATTCCGGTGAATGGCATTTTTTTTGTCACCAATAAAAAAGAAAATTGCTTTTCACCAAAAAAAAAACCAAAATCACTATAAAAATCCTTAATAAAATAATAAATATTATAAAAAAAAAAAAAAATTCACCAAAAAAGTATTCGAAGAATATTAGCGATGCATAACGAAAGACAAACAAGTAACGAGAATCCTTGCGAATTTTTTCGTTCAACAATTTCCATATATTGAAAAACGTATGGAACAGCGCCACCAAATATGATAAATCCGGATGATAATACCAAAATCATTATTGAAATAACTTCTCTTAATGGTAACATTTCAATTGCTGTTCGCTCAATTAACATCATATCGATAAAATAAAATCCACGAAAAAAAAAAGGGGTGAAAAATGAAGAAATTAATAGATTTTGGTTATTGATTTTGGTTCTCAAATGGTATTTATAATCCTGTTTTTCCACATTTTCATTGTTCCACCTATATCATAATGAATGTTCAAATTTAACCTTCAACCTTCTACCTGCAAAAAATTCACAATTAATATACGCATTTCATTATCATTAATCATTAATCAGTTTCATGTATTCCAAATTTAAAACCAGTTAAAATTGCCATAAATCTATAAAACAAAGAAAATCAAATAGAAAATAAAAATTATTGAATTAATAAAAATTTAGAAAAATTTCTAAAAATTGATAGATAAAAAAACGAATAAAATGCTTTTGCTAATGTTAACGACAAGAAATTACGAATAATAAATATAAATAATACAAAATAATAAACAAAATAATAAATAAAATATGGAATAAAAATATATATCTAACGAAGAAATGAAATAAGGACTATTATTATCAAAAATCTAACATCGTTAACTAATTTATTCCAAAAATCAATTTTTCCGGTGAAGAAGCTATTTTTCTTTTTTTTTTAAAGAATCTTCACCATTACTGGTGAGTTAAACAAGCTCCGCTGGTTTATCGCAAATATGCCAGGGAATTCCTTGGAAATACAGTGAGTCGCCAGGACCACTCGGATTTTTGGACAGGTTTCAGCATCAATGTTCCGAATTTAGCAACAGCCCACTGAGCCATTCTATCACTAATGATGAAGCTGTAAGGAGTTTTACAAAGAGCATAGATATTTTTCACTAAAAAATACCATAAAAATCTCTAATAAAATAAATTCGAATATTGTAATTCGATTCGAAATTACTTCATAAAAACCTTCGAGCCCTTTCATCTTAACGGCTAGACTTATCATAAATTTATCATTTAAAAAACTTTTATCATTTGATAAACTTATCACTAAAAATTAAATACGGGCGATACCGAGTTATCAACATTGCAATATTTATCAATAAGTGATAATTCTCCAGTGAAAGAGTTCACATATCAGCGTTATTTTCATATAAGCAAACGAATCAAAAATGATTGGCTCTATCAGAATAAAAAATTTTTTTCACTTAATAAAAATATAATTCAATTATAATAAGAAAAGAAAAAATTTAGCATATAAATTTACTGATAATAAATTATTATTATCAGTAAATTTGTGCGCAAAATTTTTATTATTAAATTATTAAATTATTTTTGCAAATTAAATGAAATGTATTAAATGAAAAACAACAATAAACTTAAAATTAAAATTTAATATAAAAAATTTTTACGCAAGAGAGAAGGAAAAGAAGGAAAAAAAAATTGAATTGCAAAATTACAATGCTTGCTTGCAGAATTCGCAAGAACGCGCAAAAACCATCGTCGCATACCTTCTCAATTCTCTCAAAATTCATTGAAAGTCGTTTTATCACTTGGAAATATTCGAAAAAAAAAGAAAAACTTACCTAACACTGATCACTTATCACTTATCACAATCCACAATACTACTAACATTGCGAGTACCACGTAAATAATAAACGAAAAATTGAAGACAAATAATCGAGCACAACTAACTTATTTATATAACTAAACGACTCGAAATTGTCGTAAAACAAATTTTTATTTGTTTTTATGATTCATTCATCTTTTTCTTCTTGTGAATTTTCAAAGAACCTATTTTTCTAAATAAAGCAGTACCATTCCGATGGTTCGCATATTCTAAATGAAATTTGCCAGGAAGAAATAATTCCTCGTAAATTTTCTATTCTTAATTTTGAAAATATTAAAATAAATGACCCAGTTTAAATTTATATTTCTAAATTAAAATTTCTAAATTTATTTCTCATTTCATTATATGCCTTCTGAGAAAAATATTTTCCAAAAATTCAATAAAATAAAGAAAAAGAAATCTTTTTTTTTCATTCAAATTTCACTTTAATTACTAGAAATCCATGTACACATATATATGTACACATATGCCACAAGCTATTGCCTTAAATCCATAAAAATCCATAAATTTCCTTTTTAGAACTTTTTCTCTCGTTTTTTTTTTCCGATTATTTTTCAAATATAATAAAGGTAAAAATTAGTCGGCCGAGTCGTTTTTTATAGCTCAGATTAGATCGTGTTGAATCTCTCTATTCAAGAAAAATTAACTATCCCTTCTCTCAACGATCCCTTCTACAATTCTATTCATCAAATGATCGCTTTTCTAGCGTATTAATAATAATAATTAATAACTAATAATTAATAATAATTAATAATAATAATTAATAATAATAATTAACAATAATTAATAATAACAATAAATAATCTCATGAAAATATTTATCGTTTTTCCAGAAAAAATTTTAAAAAATTAATTTATACAAAAAAAAAAAGAATTAAAGCAAAATAAATAAAAATCAAACAATAACAGAAATACAAATGAAAATATATTCCATATACTTGCCAAAAACTTGTTTTATTCTATCGTTTTTATTTAAAATGAACACAAAATCGAGAAAATTTTATTCGAAAACTATTTTAAAAAAAACATTTTATTCTAAGTTACGTAAAATAAATAAAAAGAATCAATAGAAAAAAGAATTATTCATATTCATAAAGTTATTAAATCAACTGGAAAATATTAAATATTAATGGATAAACCAATGCAAATTATAAAAATTATAAAATATCAATATAATTTTATTAGAAAATTCATTTCAATTGATAACAACTGATAGCATTGATAAAAAAATAAAAAAATAAAATAAGCAGAATACATAAATTTTTCCTATTTTCTTCGATATCTAAATTAATGATTAATCAAATCAAATCGAAAGGCAAAGATAAATTTATAAAAGCAAATTGCATTTTCGAAAAATCAAATTCTTTAATGAAAGCACAAATGAAAAAATAATTAATAAAAAATCAGAGGAATTTAAAAAATGAAACGAAAAAATTTTGCTAGCGACGTAGATATTCTATAAGGTAGGATAGCTAGAATAGAACTCTTGCATAGAACTCTTTTAGCGTTACATGCCTATGACAGTAGTAAATATATTGTTAAAAGCCTAGGAGGGAGGGGGAAATCTACGAACCTAACTATATTCCTATTGTTCTTAGCAAAAATTTCATACCAAATTAATAGCCTAACCAGAAAATTTATTCGCTAATCGCTTAAATTCTATATGAAATGATTCTTTCCAAAAAAATCCATAGTAATGATTTGAAATTGAAATTAAGCGAATTATTGATCTAAAAAAATGTTATCAGCCATTTCTTAACATTAATCGGAATATAAAAAAATTTATCAATTGATAAGGATTCGAAGAATGAGAAAAAGTATGGCAAAAACATCTTTTTTGTATCGATTAAAATCATCCTAAATCATTAACGCATAACATAAATCAATTTAAATTCTAAATTAATTCGAATTTTCGAAAATTCGAATTAAAAAAAAATTTTCTAAAATACAAATACTAACAAAACGCCTTCTTTCATTTAAACGCAAAAAAATAAAATAAAGAAAACCCGTAATTTAGCATAGAAAGCGATACTTAAAAGAAATATTTTAAGATGCCTATCGGTGTAAAAAGAAAAAAATCCATGGATTGACTTTAAGATCGGAAAAATTTTCCCTTCCACTTCATTCTATTTTATAATACATAAATTCATTTTATCAAATCTATATACAATTTATACACATATATTTTTTTAAGAGTCCTCACCATTACCGGTTTTAACTCGCTCCACTGGTTTGTCGCATTGGGCAATATGCCAGAGAATCCCTTGGCGATAGAAATACCGGTGAGTCGCCAGCATTACCCGGATTTTTGTACAGGCTTACTACTGAGGGGAATCGAACCTCAGCATCGACGCTCCAAACTGAGCAACAACCCACTGAGCGATTCTATCCCCATAATTCTATACAATTTATATAGAGTAAAGAGAAAGGAGAAAGAGGAATTGAAAGAAAAAACCCTGAATAAGGCGAAAAAAATACGTCAAACAAGTTAATAAAACAATAAAATCGAGAAGAAAATTTGAATATGGAGAAAAATTTCCATTTATAAACACCAAAAAAAGAATCAAATGCATTAAAAATTCGGAAACATTCAAAATAGAATCAATCATTTTATTAAATATTTCGAAAATTATATCATATAAAATTTGGTACTTCCACACCTTATCTGATATAATATAATCACTGATAAGGAGTTAGTATGGTCATGGAAAACACCAATGCAGGAATATTATTTCAAAAAGTCATCACAGAACAATAAGGCGCGGACAAAAATAAATTATTGGGCTTTGGCTTTATAAGCTCAATCACGACGTAAACATGGATGGATGCCTTTTATTTTATTGAAAAAATATATAAATATATTCACGAAGAAATGGACGGCATAGCGATAGCAGCAAAAATATGGATATTTTTTTACTCATCTATAGTAAAAAATAAAAACACAGAGATAGGAAAAAAAATTAATTAAATAAAAAATGAAAAACAAATTAGCTATAAATATCCGCCTTCCTTTATCGACCTAAACCATTCCAGTATAAGGCACAATGGAAGTACCAAAGTGTTATATTAATTATACTTAAAATTAAAAAATAAAATTTCTTCATAAATTATCTTCTACTATATTTTTTTTAGTATTTCGTATATCAAACATCTAAAAATAAACCATACCAATAACTAGTGAGATATTATTTTCTCATTCAAGGACATTTTACGAATGAGAAAAGAACCATAATATCATATAAATATAATTGCGCTAAAAAAATATATGGAAAAAAATTGACTGAAAACTATAATTTTTAATAAAAATTTTAGAGATCTTAGACGAATTGCAAACAATAATATTATAAATAATGGCACTAAAATAACAATTCGTTACGAAAAGCAATCAACGAATATTGGACAGAATACTAACAGAAAATTTTTCCAAATTCTTTCAAATAGCCTGAATAAATTTATGGCGATACATG